AAGGAAAGGAGTGACATGATCAATTGGCGCCAAAATCACTAGTCGGTTCCAATCGATACATCACTCAGCATTTTTCGTTAAATTAAGATATTAAACGATTTTAATTAAATGACTAAAAACAATTACTGTAAATCACTATTTATTCGCGAGAACTTTATTTTCACGTAATTACGCGAGACAGTGTGCTCGCGAAAATTTAATTCTCGCGTATAATAGTATTCCTTTAGATTATATAGAGCAATAACACAATTCGTGAAAATTTTGTCTCGGTTATCAAGAGTCAATGACTATCTCGCGAAAAAAAGGTGTCACGAAAATTTAGTGATCTTCAGTATATTTCCATGAAATTATATAAAGTAAACTTCGTTGTTGAACTTAAGGTATTCAATGTATAACGACCATATTTTGTACCTAATAAATGAACGGTCCAATATTTTTAATCATGGTAGCAATTTGAAGATATTATCAAATGAAAATGCTCCACCAAAGGAATTTACAAAATTTTGATTACTGTCCAATTAATATCACTTTGAATTTTACATTGAAGTCTATGGGCAGTGCATGTTTTTATAAGATATTGTAAAAAGTAATTTGAATTTCAAAGAAATCTCTTGGTGAAAATATGCATAAACTCCCTCTTTATTAAAATATAAAATAAAATAAATTATTTACCGCAGAAATTTTGTGAAATCAAAAATTTTCTTCTTTTCATCAAGGGCAGATAACTCTTCAAAAACTGTAAATGTGCAAAATGACCGTCTCCTTACATGTTATAAGTCTTGTGAATTTGGTTTATTTCACTTTTATCGTTTTCTAGCTGTGTGCTTTTAACTAGTTTAAAATTATTTAAAATCAGTCAAAATCCCTTCGTTATACATTGAATACCTTAATTCTCAAACACAAGAATCTTTATTTTGATAACATCAGAAGTGACGTATCATTGAATCTAATATTGACTGGACACACGAAAGTAACGATTTTTTTATCTTTCAAAAACTTTGATGTTTTTTTTAGGGGGGAGGGGGTATATTTTTCCCTATTTATCCTGTACATCTATATGTCTTTACCTTTTTATATGCCCATAGAACGCAGCTCCCCCCTGATTTTTCTGAAGAAAACAAATTTTAAAAAATGCTGTAAACAGAGTAATTTTGGCCTCACGTTATTTTCGTCCTTTCACACTTGCAAACAATTTTGCCCTGTTAATTTTCGCCAATTCACTTTGTTATGAAGAATTATTATACTTCTTTCTTTGAATTCCTCCTGTCTTAAATTCGCCCACTTGGTGTTTAGGGCGAAAGAAACGAAAATAAAAACTGGGAAGAAAATTTCCCTGTATTCAGCAGTTTGGAGAAAATGTAAATTGTGAATTTGAAGTTCTTGCCCTCCTAAACCCTCCTCCCCGACCTTTTTTTTGTTGTTCGTTTGACACCGAAAATTTTCAGCAAAAATTAATAAAAAAGGTGCCGAGATGTTACAGCTTAACAAGCCAACCAACCCCACCCCCCCACCTCTCCCCGCCAAGAAAAAGGGTTTCGAGTTCGAACACTTTGTTTTGCAAGGGCTCTACCCCATCCCCATTTGAAAAAAAAAAAATTCTAAGAATTGTTGCCTTATAAATTGTCTTCAAAAGTAGTGATGCAGAAAAGGATACCTTTTAAGTCAGTCTCAATTCAAATATTAATTTTTAAACTATTCAGTTTGATATTATATATATATGTAAGTTCCGATTATATTTTCAGCTGTCTTGCATCATTTCTGATCTCCTTTCTATTTGATCTAAGTTAATTCATAAAGTTTATAAAGCCACAGTTACCTTGCTTTATTCCATCACATTTTTTTCTAATGATTTTATCCTTTTTTTCTTCATTTTTGATAAAAGAAATCTATTTAACGAATCTTAAAAATCATTTCATATTATTTTCATTCAAATGTTATTTCTAATTTTATCCACATGCATGCTCGTTCTTCTTGTATTCCTTTTGTTTGCGGTAAAATAAATATCTACCTTAAAGCCATATATGGCGTAACTGTTCAAAAAAAAAATATTTTTGAAAAATACAAAATTAAGTAAAGAAAAACAGTTAATACATTTAAATTGAAATTTTTCATACAATTCTGAACACGGAGAACACCTCGTTTCAACTAATAATACGATTTTATCTTCTCTGTAATGTGTTATTTAAATCTTTTATATTTTCTTCCGAGTCGGAGAAAATTCCGAGAATCCAAATTAAATTGTGATATCTTTATAACGCAATTGACTTAGATTTTGTAATTTACAGAATAGTTCTATCTCTATATAAAGTAATGAAACAAATAATAAGGTCTTATAATTTTAGTCAAATAATTTTCATTGTACATATGCCATATATGGCTTTAAAATTTAATGTTCATGAATAAATATCCTTTCTTCTGATGGGTAGTAAAAATGTTAAGACAAAAAAATCTAGCCGCTAAATTCTGAATAAACTGTTTGCTAATCATAGTGTACTCCCAATCTTAAAACCAAGTTTCTTTCCTGATGTTTGGTATAAAGTATTCAATTTGTAAGGTTATGAAGCATCCACCTCCCGGAAAATGGACGGATCATACTATAAGCGTAATGATACACGCAAAAACATTTTCTTTAAATATTGATTGCTTCGTCATTTTTTTTTTTAAATATTAGTTGGTGCTATTAATTAATTAAATGGAACAAGCTATCGGAAGGGATGGGGAGGAAAAAAGTATTCTGAGAAAAAGAAGAGTAGTCCCTTCTCATAACATTAAATGTATATACTGTTATAACTCGTGCAAATTGAGATTCCTTTTTCGATATGTTCCCTTTAGTAAAAAGTCTGCAGTCCGCTGTACGTTGTAAGGGGTCCGACATTCGGAAAATGTTCATTACTAAGTAGTGATGGTCGTACGACGCAGTACCACAACAAGCAGAACTTTTACTTATTAGCTTGCAGAGTCTTTCAGTAATGGCTTTAAATCCGCCACTTGAATTTCTTGGAATAAAAACATGGACATGGGAAGGGGGCAGCTGACGGTGTCAGTGCAGTTGTGAAGAGAAGAGCAGATGTCTTTGGGAACACGGGAGGAGATCTCAACAAAGTAGCTGATAATGTCAAGCATTGGAATTATACTCATCAGTTAAACTAACGACTGTTTCGGAGAAAAACACTAGTTACCGAGAAGATGAAATCTGAAACTAATCGGATTAATCGATTTGGGGGTAAATTAAAGTTATATCAAATTCCTGTGTCGTCAAATATTAGAGCAAAGGCGGATCATACCCAGGAGTTATATCAGCATTTGATGAAAATGTTAATTTAGAGGTCAAAACCATGCATAGAGTAAGGGTAATCGTTTTTGGGCTGTGTTTTTGGGACGTCAAAATAAATATTATGCGACCACTGAAGAATCAATCTAGAGCAGTTACCAAAAGGCATGCTGAAGTTGTCTCTCTTATCCAGGAACCAGTACATATAGACATCGACGAAGATTAGATTGATTGGTTGATATGATGTTGTTTTACGTCCTATTCGAGATTTATTTTACTAATGTAGAAACGTTTCCATATACTGATGAAGGACTGCACATTCTGAGCTTTACTCGGCACTCAGGCTCATCGATCATTGAGGGATCTTTATCATGTCAACGCCTGCCGATAGGGACCATTTCTAAGGTTTCATCTGAAAAAAAAAAAAAAAACTTCTTTTCTAGTGTCAAGCGCATGGCGAAAGAACGATTGATATCCATCTTATCGACTTGTGTCAGTCGCGGCCAAGATTCGAACTAACAAACTTTCGATCATGGAGTAAGTGCTCCTCCAACTGAGCTAACGTGAATGGTAAATTTTAGATGTTTGTAATTATATTGAATTTTGTTGATTATGAAAGAGTTTTGATTTGAATTAAATACTATTATATTTTTATTTTAAACTTATCTTAGATTTGTTTGTCCCCAATCCATAGATCAAAATCTAAATATGCCAATGACAAAAGTAATACTGGTTACCCTTGCTTACTAGGATTTTCATGGCCATAACAATTTATCTTTACCGCAGTGCACATTGATTTATCATTCATATTTCACAGAAATTCCCTAAATGATATACTGTAGATTGGCAAATAATCACGATGTTTTTAATTTCGCCATGTTCGCGTTTTATCATTTTTCCGCAAAAATAAACCAATCGTGAATGTTATTTTTAGTTTTAGAATGCTTAGAACTTAATTTTGAATTAATTTCTTGCAGCGTGAAATTAAAACCATCGCAATTGGTACGTACTGAGATATCGTGAATTTTTAACACCGTGGAATTAAAACAACTTACAGTATTTTAAACTTCGTTAATCTTGAAAATGGTAAAATAGATATGTATTCAGTAAAAATTAAAAGATTGCTACTTTTGAAAAAAAAAAAAAAACTACATTCATTTCTTTGATGACAAATATTATTGCATTTAGTTAACGATATAGCTCTCTTATCTGCATACTATGATGTATTTTGAATGATTAAAATATCTTATATTTGATAATCTCTCAGTTTACCTTCAACTCCATTTCATATTCGAAAATTAAACAATATAATTAAGTTATGGTTGAAAGAGCAACAAGATGAATTATCTTTGTGTAATTGTCATAATGTTTTCTTTCACATAGATCTGATATTCAAAAAAGAGTATACACAAGAACGCATATGTTTACCCGTTGCTAGAATTGAAAATAAAGAAATGTGTATACGCATTTGAAACACATTACATGAAAAAGATCTTAAAAGACATGGATTATTATTTTTTTAATTAGAATTACAATTTTCGTAGCATGACCGGCTTATGCTCGACCTCAAGCTTTGTGCGATTTGCTTATGCATTTTATGCAAGTTGCTTATGCATTTCATGCAAGAGGAACAAATCTGGTAATCTCACAATGATATACTTATACCAATAGAATGTTTTATATAATTAATTTTTTTTAAACGAGAATGTTTGCATTTATATCTTTTCAGACTACTTTGTATTCTGGATCAAGTCTATACACACTTACTGTGGTTCTGACAATGAAAAAGATCCAAAGCCCACAGTTCTGATAGTAGCAACCCATTGGGACAAAAGAAACAGGCAGTTCCATGTGAGACTATTTTTTATGCAATATAATTATCATTTTATAACCCCACTCCGTTTTAAACTTGTGTGTCTGTCTACCAATGAGTCTATATGTCCATGTGTCTGTCCATAAATTTTCATTTTTTTTCTCAACAACTACTCACACGAAATTGAAATTTTAGCACACAAATGAAATAGTGGTAAGATTATTTTTTATCACATCCGATGTAATCTTTCTTTTAATCAGTGTGTTTTTCCGTACCGATTTTTCATAACAGTTTTCTCAACAACTACTCATCAGGCGTTATTGAAATTTTTAGATACTTGTTGAAAAGCATTTAATCTTTTGAAGTTCAGGTAGGGATTGCATGATTGGCAACAATATTTTCTTATTCGCAATGTCTAGGAAAAAGGTAAATACCTTGCCTCTAATATACATGTAAAACCGTTCAATTTAAGCTAACTGATACAATCACTGAGTGATATTGTCTTCTTGACTCTGTGATAATGTCATTGATTTTTGAATACAAGGATTGTAAGAGGAATCCTATGTTAAGTTATTCGTACATGTATATGTTGCAAAATAATGTTTTTGGATCATTAATGCAATAGAAAAAATACTTTTTTACTTTTACACTAATAAGATTGATGTTTAAAAAAGTAAATTTTGTCTAATTTTGAATTATTATTATTATTATCCGGAGGCCACTTAATCATACAGTTGTGTTAATTGATTTAGTCTCCCTTCATGTTGATCACTTGTAAATATAAAGCTCAATTTTCTTTACATGACATTTTTAAAGGCGTTTGAACTAAATAACTCCATGAGCTTTTATAGGAGGCAGATGAATATCAAAACAGCATAAATAGAAATATAGTCATATTATCCCACATAAAATCTTGACAGAAAACGAGAACAGTCCATCTACTATAGTGACTTGATATCATTTTTAATTTAGGATGAAAACCAATTGATGGAGAGTCTAAGCTGTCAGATTCCAAAGTCATCTCACTTAGCACAGTACATAAGAGATGATAAATTTTTTTTAGCAGATTTTAATTTGCCTCTCCGTGATCTGGAAATTTCCTTCTTCAACATAGCTTCCAATCAACGATGGAACGAGAAAATTCCAAAAGAATGGTCTTTTTTTGGAATAGAAATCAATCAGAAAAAAATATTACAGCGGATCATAAATGTCTCGGAAATAAAAACAGCAGCTTCAAAGATTACTGATAGAGGGGAGAGAGCTTCCAATAAAGTTAAAAACGAAACTCTAGATATGCTGAGATACTATCATGATGCAGGGAAAGCTCTATATTTTAATGAAAATGGGCTTGGTGATAAAGTAATAATTGATGTACAATGGTTTATTGACGCCTTCAAACATATCATCACAGACAAGCTACATTTTAAAGGTATTCCTGTGACTCAGAGAGACTGGAATGAATATTATAATACTGGAAAACTGGGAGACCAACTCCTTGTAGAGATCTGGAAACACAAAGATGAAGAGTTATTCGAAAAGTTAAAAAACGAAGAAAAATCCTCCGAAGGCGATGAATACGAAAATGAGGAGAAATCATATGGGGATGATAAACGATATCTACAATCTCACAAAGAATCACTACTTAGCTTTATGCAAAGACTTGGTTTATTGGCTATTGGTACGGAATCTCACTATGTCCCTTGCATGAATCGTAAAGAAATAGAAAAAGAATTTCCAGATTTCATCAAAGAATCGCAGTGTAAATCATCTGTCCTCGTTTATCAATTTGATTTTCTTCCATTTTTCTTGTTTTTTCGCCTTGTTGTTGCTTGTATGCAAGAAGATGGTTGGAAAGTCTTACAAAATCAAGGAACATCTTGCCTCTACAAAAATGCTGCGTTGTTTTCAGAGGTGGGAAACAACATTGTTTTATCCGTCACTGAAGAATCCATACAACTTCAAGTATTTTGCCCGGTACAAGGATGGTTTTTGGAAACAAGAACTACACACAGAATTCAAGAAAGAATTGAAGAGCTGTTAAATGATCTAGCAGGGACATTTTACAAAAAAATACTGTTTGTGAGAGGATTTAGATGTCAAATGGACAAGGAAAAAATGATTGCATTCGATATAAAGGAACATTTTCTACCTGGAAAAGACATTCCAAACGGAGATCTTAAATTGATGTGTCCTTTGCATTCTGTTAATGATCGGCATATCATTGATACTACTGAACTTACTAGATATTGGAAATTGTAGAGAAAGGCATCCACCAATTTTAAATTATTGAAAGAATTACAAAATTCATTCCCCAATATTTCAGTATGGTTGAAAATTATACACAATATACGTATTTTTTCCAACAAATTTTGTCTAAGTTTTGAGAAAAAATTTTGAATTTAAATGTTTTACATTTTTGGACACTCAACTGAGAATGAAAATATGTTTAGAATGCGCATCTGTATACACATGTATACTAGTATTTCCGTTTGACAATTGGTTTATCATTGGCAAACAAATCTCAAATTACTTTTCACTAAAAATTAGAACACTTTTTTTAAGTGTTCTAGATTAGCGAAATAGGTTTAAACTTGTAATCTTGAATTATTTATTGTGCTTACTTACTTTTGTACAGAGAGTATTTTTATCAACCTTAAATCTAAAAATTAATGCAATGTTTGAACACGTAGCTGAAAAAATAATATGTTCTAATAAATTAGTAATTTTTACAGCTAGACGAGGAAACGCCATAACCAGAGATTATGCTCTCCCATGTTTTGGTTTTATTTTGCCCTGTTTGGCTGTGATCAAACATGAAAGGATGCGGCATGAAGGAGGACCATTTTAGAAATATGACGTTATTATGTTCCCCAAACGAAGTTGGGGAACATATTGTTTTTACTCTGTTTCTTATTATTATTATTTTTCTTCTTCTTCTTCTTCCTGGGTACTTTTTTGTCCGGGAATGATCTCGTAAACTATACATCCAACTAAGGTGAAATGTTTTTAGGGTCAGTAGGCATGTTATGTAGATTAGCGGAACGAAGGTCATTTTGCGCGCACGTGCTTGCAAGAGCGTGCACGTGCAACATGTGAAATGACCGATTTAATTGATATAGGCGTAACTTTTTAAATTTTTGATGAAATGCTTTGAAACTTATAATATAAGGATATATTAGAAGCATAGACAATATGACATGGTCAAAATAGCAAGATCTCACGCGCATGCACGTGCGCTTTGCTCTGATTGGCTGAAACTAAAGTCTCAACATCTTTCTTATTTTTTGACGAAATCCTTTGAAATTTTGAAAATAGCCATGCATTAGGATATCCTACAACAAGATATATAGCAATTATCATGAAAACACGTGCATGCACGTGCGCTGCAATCTGATTGGCTTAAACTTTAAATAGCTATAACTCCCTTGATTTTCAACCAAACAGGATGGGATTTTGAACATAGATAGATATACTGGACTACTAAAAGAAGGTATGGCCACCATGCACATGCATACACATGCATGTACGTGCGCTGCAATCTGATTGGCTGAAACTTTAAACAGCTATAACTCCCTTGGATTTCAACCAAACGGGGTGGGATTTAGAACATAGATAGATGTAACGGACATCTACAAGAAGATATGGTCACCATGCTCATGTATGCACGTGCGTGCACGTGAAATGAGCAAAATAAAAAAACACTTGAATGAGCGTATCTTTTTAATAGTTTTGGATTAAATGCTTTAATATTTAGTATATAAAAATATATAGATTGTGTAGACAAGATGATATGGTCATTACGCACATGCATTCACATGCGCACGCAAAATTTGAATGACCTTTGTACACTTCTGGGTAAACGTTGTTAAAGTCTCAAATGCATAGAGTTTGTCCTATTTAATGAAGCTTACAGGGAATATGGCACCGAAAGGGAGTTGGGGAGCGTTTGGGGAACATCTGTAACGGTCCCCGTTACAATTAGCACTAGTTAGTATTGATAACAATTTCTATTTCAAACCAAAAAAAAAAAAAAGTCCCAAATTTTTAATAGGGGTGGGATGGGGGTAGGGCCCGAAAGAAATAGTTTCGACAACCTTTGTATTTTTTTTCTTATTTTCAGATATCGTTTATACATGTACCAGGGTTAAGGTAGGACTAAATAGATAGGTCAATTTTTTCTTCAAATTCCTTTTTTTTTTTTGAAACTTTGATATCTTGTTCTTGGATACAAAATCTCTCTTTATACATGATATGAAAGAAATTCAACTGCACATTTTTTGCCCACATAGTCTGAAATATGCCCTATCCTACCCCTGTTAGAAGATAGCGAAATGAAACATTCGACTTGAGAATGAGACTTATTTTAGAATTTTCAATTGATCTATTGCAAATGTGTGTAATACTTTCAATAAAAATAACCTTTTTGTTACTTTAAATCAGTAAGTCACATTGATACTGGAAAATTTGGGTAAAATATTAAGCAAAATAGATCATACATTGCATCATAAACTCAAAATTCACATGTAAATATCCCACAGTATAAGTTTTCTTAAGAGAAAATGTATAATTTAATTTTTACAAAAAATCAACAGAATGATTCAAATGGATTCTAGAATTAAATGTGTAAAAATAAAGAAAATTGAACCGGTGGTTTAAGATATTTTGGCGATTAAAAAAGAATTCAATGGCAAAAAAAACTGAAAGATTCAGTAGATGACGTCACAATATTTGACCTTTGACCTCATGATATGACCTTGACCTTTGTAGTACATGAAGAATAGAGACTCCTTATATATGTGTCCAAATATCGTCCCTCTACTATTTATGGAACAAAAGTTGCACTGCATTTTATAACAGATTGTTACATGCTTGTTTATTGCACTTAGATAGCGTAATCACATTCCAAAATGTAAGCTCCCAAGTAACCAATATATAGGATTCTCTGATTTTTTTTTTACAAAATATTACGCAAATATGCCAAAACTTATTATTTTTCTTTCAGGGATCATAAATTTTTGTCAATGAAGTAATATTATTCTTTTTTCCTCCAGTAATTTTTAAGAAATGGGTTAAAATAGAATTAACAGGTTTTTTTGTCCTACCTTAAATACATTGAAAACTCATATTTCTCCTAATCTTTGTTAATGATACATGTTGTCTGTTTTATTCGAAAGAAAATTTCACTACAAATTGATGTCATTCAGCATTTTTTTAAGAAGGTATGGTAAAATGCCCAGTTTTTGGCGTTGTTTCAGTGACTCAAATAGTAAAAATTTTATTTCTTACTAGATATATACTGAAAACCTATTTGCTTTTCACGCTCTTTTTTGTATTTGATTGTTCTATAGCTTAAGGTTCATAAAACCTTCTGCTAACTCACATAAAACGATTCTTTATGATTTTCCAAACGAAATATATATGCTGTTTAAATTACAAATTATTATAGCATGGCTTGCAGAAAAATTCAACAAAAAACTTTAACTTCACAACTTTATAAAGGGATAATACACATTTATATTAATATTAGTAATCTCTCTTATAAGAGTATCAATACGTGTATACCTTGAGATAAAGATATAAAGATTTAACTATAGCATCTAAAATTTTCTGTAAAAATGAAATAGATAAATATCTATAAAACTCTTTTTTAAAGCTGTAATATGAGGATGCGAAGATCTGTATAGCAAAAAATATTATTTTGTTAACTATCATAAAAAAAGGAAAATAATGTTTATAAGTGTGCAAAAAATAGATTTTTTGTATCGTATGTCATTGATTTCATGGAAAGTCAAAACTGTTTGTATAAAAACGGAGTTTTGAGATGTACGAGGGTTGATCCAGAAGTAACGTCACAACTTCGATAAAAGTGCTACTAGTCGACGTAAATAAATGAAATCATACATGATGGAAGCTATATATATATTACAAATACTTTTCAAAATATCGAATTATATATAAAGTGCAATTATGGTAGTCGCCGCACCAAAATAACGTCATAATTATGATGGATACGCGCCGTCATACTCTTAAACGCTTCCCCTTCGTTTCATTAAAAATATTTGATATTCATGAACACATTCACATATATTTCTCTTTTTAAAAGAATTATTGGCACCCGTAGTAAACTTAGTCTATACAAAATTTAGTTATCTGTCTTTGAACAGTACCATAAGAAAAACTTCAAGTTTCTCATATCGCTCTAACTGTTTAATCGTCTCTCTTTTTGGGCAACGTCAGACCATTTCAAGAACATTCCGCCCGACCTCCCCTTTCCGGTCTTTTTGTCCTCTGCTGATCATTCAGTGACACATGACCCGCTAAAAATCGCTGAAACCATCTACAAACAAGTCTCTGATCTACATTCTATCCTCTGTGTGTCTGATTATCATCGTAACTTTTTCTTCGGGCGATTTCCCCATTTTGAAGCAAAAACGCATTTCAGATCGTTTCAGCGGTTTTTCTCCATTTCGACTTTTCTTTTGTTCAATCCAGCAGAATAAAACAACTATGTTTATGATCAAAAAGCAATGACGTCATTATATTTTCAACTTAAGACTAAAAAATGTCATAAAATTTTGTCTTTTAAAATATTGGAAGATTACAGATGTTTTTTAGATGCTTTTTAATGCGTTTGTCTTTTTTCATTCTAACAATTTACAGTTTAAAACGTGACGTTTATTTGTGACGCGGCGACACCCCTTATGTTTAATATTTTAAACATCTATAAAATTAATTAAAGTAAACATTATTAAATAAAATTTTCAATTATGATTAGATTTATTTTTATGCTTCTTTTGGTATATTATATTTGATAATATGACGCCAAGTATTAAAGATATTGACACAGTGACATTACTTTTGGATCAACCCTCGTAAAAGGACATAATTATATCGATATCTGCTAAGAAGAACCTCAAATAGTGTTTTGGGACCTTGTAATAAAATTATTGTATATAGTGGCTCAATTGTATATTGCACTCAAACGAAGTTGGACAGAACTTCAACTGGACAAATGCATTGCAACAGTTCGATTGCTTTCCATTGTTAAGTAACTATTACTTTAAAGGTACTTTAAAAATAAATATCTACATTGCTTGCATTGCTTTGTGTGTAAAGACCTTAAAACTTTGTCAAAATGGAATAAATGAGTCAGAAGTATGTTAAAATCGACGATACAGCGATTAAGGGGCAATATGGAAACATATATCCTTTTGTACTCAATAATCCAGAAGTGATAAAGGATTAGATATAATTCATGA